TTCTTTTAGTATGAGCTATGCATTTATCTCAGGCCAGTAAGCTATCTGGATATCAGCAGTTTTCCACGATGCCAGACTAAGGATTCAGTTGTTTGCTACGTGGAGAATAGTAAGGCGAGAATTCCAATACTAATTGAAAGACTAGTGTTTTAATTTACTAACCTAAAAGTATAAGTTAAATAATTGATATTCCAGATGATAAAAGAAAACCGAGTAATGTAAAGTGGAAAGTCGAAGCTGAGCTTATATTTAGTGTTAAATAAGACTATAGTGATAATAATAAAAATAAGCAGTGTCAAGGCCTGTATCAGGCCACAACTGGTTCCAGCACGAGTTAAAAATGTGTATATCAGTACGTGTTTGTCACCAAAGATTTAGAACCACTCCGCAAATGACTGTAGATTTGATAGAACTAGATATCTAGTCCACGTACCTAAAAGACGTCAGTGGACCTAGTATCTTTGCTGTCCTAATGGTTAGAGCAACTGGTCTGCAGCTGCCGAGTCTTGCTCCAAACCTGCTGCACTTTTATCTAGCAAGCTGAATGATGTCAAAAACCGTGTTACAATACTTCTGCCTGAAAACCGAGTAAATGAATCTACAATCGGACATTATTTTACAATTTAGTAGATATTATAATGTCATATTATTTGATTCCACTAAGAGTAAAAGGACTTTATCATATTATCTTAAAGTCATGCTTATCGGCTGCCAGTGCATTTTTAGTCCAAATCTGTCCACGACAATTTTGTTTTTGGTAAATTTGGTGTTTCAATCAGCTAATTATAGTCCTTAAACGTTAGTAGACACTACTCCGTTTTCTTTAATATAGTTATGAAACGATTCAGATGGTGCTGTTGCTCAGAAAGTCAATGAAAGACTGACAATGAACCGTTAAGTCCCAAACAACGAAACTATCAAAACAAACTGTTGAATTTAACTAAACTCCTAAGGGGCTGTTTTTTTGGCCCTTGTTCTCTTTCTCCCTCTATCCGATTAAAGTCCAATATTATCGTTTGAAATAAAGTTTCTGTCAACATTCATATGCCGGCCTAGTGGTCCAGAAACTAGGCGTTCACGCACAAGACCGAAGGTACTGGGTTCGAATCGTGCGAGGTGCAAGAGTCGTGAATGCGCACCGTTGATGAATCCCACACCAGGACAAAAAGGCCGTCAAATGCTTCCAGGTTTCTAATAGTGGTCTAACAATGACTGATTCATGATTTCACTGTGTAATATGCATATCGATTATACCGTTATTTCATTTCAGACCTTTAGGCATCCTGCTGTTAATTGACGCGATATCTTTGTATTTGACCAGACAAAGTAATAATTTAGTTTTACTCCCTGACTAGTGATGCTGGAGGTTAGTTGTGTTTGAGATTAAACTTTGAAATCCTTAGTGTGCAGCACCGGGAGTTGAAGATGCTAATGTATGGGGTCTCATAAGTTTGAAGAAGGGGAATAAAAAAGCGCAAAGGAAGATTCTAAATGAGTTCCACAGTGAAAAATGAAGTGTTGGATAAAGCTGACGAAATTCAGGATGCTAGACAAGCCAGAAGAATAGCTTTCAGAGGCGTTAAACGACAGCTTAATCTCTGGAAAGGTCCAGTACACAAAAATCGGCTTGCTGAGCAAATAATATTTCCAATAAATGACAGAGAAATTGTTATGTCAGGTTCCCAAGAGGCTGCAAAAATGAAGAGCAAGTTTATATTAGAGAAACCATAAAGGACTCGACAAATTTACAGGGGAAGTTATATACTGCTCTGTATGGAGTTACGGACACAAGGTTAGCTTTTTCTCATTCTGTTAGTTCTTAGTACACATAAGGGAGAAATTCCAGACAAGGCAGCAAAAATGGTTTCTAAGATGTTGCTGGAGAAGATTGCTATGCGTGACAGAGGACGTTTCTTACTTGCTCGAGCTGCCGCTCCGCAACAAACGTCAAACAAGATTAAGAGTAAACGATTTCATCGCCATTTAAAGGCACGTACAATGAAGGGAGAAAGAAACCGAGTCCTTTACGCCTCAATAATCCTCGAAAGTTTGCCGAAACGATCTTCTCAATGCTGAATTAAATAGAGTCAAAGAAAGAGCTAGTTTGAAACACAGAGGTGGTAGCAAATTCGCAAAATTACAGAAATTGAGGGCAAAGATATGACTCTGAGGTAACTATATGTTAATGCTACTTATAAATTAATAGGCTAGAGCAGCTGTAGCAGACATGCACGAGTTATCCCGGGAGACCACACGAAAGGCTGATCCTGACCTTCTGTCCGATACTGATGAATCTGACGTATCTATCTCCTCCGAATCTGAAGGAGAATCGGAAGAGTCTGATTTCAACTTAGACGATGATGTTGATGAAGAAGTACATGAAGTTCCTCAAACCCTTGGTTGGTGGAAAAAGGTAGTATGATCAGTTTTTTCTTATGTACTGACTAATAAACGGATATTTTTATAAGACAATTTTACTAGTTGTCTCACTAAGTTATGGTCGCTTACCTTGAAAATCTACAAATAACATTGATGAAGTAGTGAAAACTTCATCAGTCGAGGTGGTTGAGACATTGTGTACGTATGCCTCTAACCGCCGACTGCCTCGTCGAAACTGCTTTCCGATGTAAGAATAGGTTGGAAGAAACCTATGGGTGTCCAAACCAAAACGTGGCACAAATCCCTGAAGGTCCAGTGGCAACTGAATTAAGTCATGTTAGTAGTGTCGACTACCTAGTGGGACCCGCAAGATGATAGTAATCGAATGATTAGAGACTAAATGACATGGCTCAAATCGTTTTGCAATCGTAAAGATGCACCCACTCTTTGTCCTCTCCCAACTTCTAATCTTCTGGAATTCCTCATTACCTATATCTTTCTCTTCTCAATTTTGTTTCCATCTGAATTATACCTCTGAATAATAATTTCGAAACCTGATCTCTCCGGTTCCTGCTAATACTTATCTACTACTAGGGCTTTTGCATTGAACATTTTGCGTCCTCTGTTGTGCTAATGTGGTATGGCCACCTGAACTGATGTGCGAAGTTCTCCGATGTAACTCACTGATTGACGAATAACATTGTAGTATATGTTCTGTACCTATCTTCGTTGCTCTGTGGCCCATTAGTTAAGAGGTTCGACTTTCGACCACTGAGCCCTAGGTTCGAACCCCGCCCCACTTAGTTTGATTAGTTAGTAAGCCCTCACAGTTGGGTTGTGGCTTGAAACCGAGTACCTGGTAAATCAGCTAATACATGTGCACTTCAATTTATCCAGTGCTACAGGCCATTCCCAAAGCCTCATATTAGATGTATTTCTCACTACTGTTATTAGTAATTCTTTTGTTCCCAAATTGTTAATTCGTTCGCTGTGTAATATAAACTGTGACAACTCGAACTTATACATGTGTACCAGTTTCTACTTTTTATGACTGATTAGTGGTATGTATCCCTTCATACTAAAAGAGATGCCGAAAGTACATCATAAATTAAAACTGCGCCATTGCATGATGCAACTACACTAAAACATAGAACTCATGGACTGGTTGATGGGTGATCCACTATTATTTTGTAAAATAAGCATCATACCACTAATCAGTCATAAAAAGTAGAAACTGGTACACATGTATAAGTTCGAGTTGTCACAGTTTATATTACACAGCGAACGAATTAACAATTTGGGAACAAAAGAATTACTAATAACAGTAGTGAGAAATACATCTATTATGAGGCTTTGGGAATGGCCTGTAGCACTGGATAAATTGAAGTGCACATGCATTAGCTGATTTACCAGGTACTCGGTTTCAAGCCACAACCCAACTGTGAGGGCTTACTAACTAATCAAACTAAGTGGGGCGGGGTTCGAACCTAGGGGTCAGTGGTCGAAAGTCGAACCTCTTAACTAATGGGCCACAGAGCAACGAAGATAGGTACAGAACATATACTACAATGTTATTCGTCAGTCAGTGAGTGACATCGGAGAACTTCGTACATCAGTTCAGGTGGCCATACCACATTAGCACAGAGACGCAAATGTTAATTCAAAGCCCCTAGTAGTAGAAGTATTAGCAGTAACTAGAGAGATCAGGTTTCGAAAATATTATTCAAGAGGTATAATTCAGTACAACAAAATTGAGAAGAGAAAGATATAGGTAATGAGGAATTCAGAAGATTAGAATTTGGGAGAGGACAAAGAGTGGGTGCATCTTTACCATTGCAAACGATTTTGAGCCATGTCATTTAGTCTCTAATCATCGATTACTATCATCTTGCGGGTCCCAACCAGGTAGTCGACACCTACCAACATGACTCAATTCATTTGCCACTGACTTCAGGGATTTGTGCCACGTTTTGGTTTGGACACCCATAGGTTTCTTCCAACCTATTCTTACATCGGAAAGCAGTTCGACGAGGCAGTCGGTGGTTAGGCATACGTAACACATGTCTCAACCACCTCGACTGATGAAGTTTCACTACTTTATCAACGTTATTTGTAGATTTTCAAGGTAGTACAAGCAACGCGAAGCGACCATAACATAGTGAGACAACTAGTAAAATTGTCTTATAAAAATATCCATTTATTAGTCAGTACATAAGAAAAACTGATCATACTACCTTTTTCCACCAACCAAGGGTTTGAGGAACTTCATGTACTTCTTCATCAACATCATCGTCCAAGTTGAAATCAGACTCTTCCGATTCTCCTTCAGATTCGGAGGAGATAGATACGTCAGATTCATCAGTATCGGACAGAAGGTCAGGATCAGCCTTTCGTGTGGTCTCCCGGGATAACTCGTGCATGTCTGCTACAGCTGCTCTAGCCTATTAATTTATAAGTAGCATTAACATATAGTTACCTCAGAGTCATACTTTGCCCTCAATTTCTGTAATTTTGCGAATTTGCTACCACCTCTGTGTTTCAAACTAGCTCTTTCTTTGACTCTATTTAATTCAGCATTGAGAAGTCGTTCGGCAAACTTTCGAGGATTATTGAGGCGTAAAGACTCGGTTTCTTTCTCATATTCCTTCATTGTACGTGCCTTTAAATGGCGATGAAATCGTTTACTCTTAATCTTGTTTTGACGTTTGTTGCGAGCGGCAGCTCGAGCAAGTAAGAAACGTTCTCTGTCACGCATAGCAATCTTCTCCAGCAACATCTTAGAAACCATTTTTGCTGCCTTGTCTGGAATTTCTCCCTTAGGTGTACTAAGAACTAACAGAATGAGAAAGAGCTAACCTTGTGTCCGTATCTCCATACAGAGCAGTATATAACTTCCCCTGTAAATTTGTCGAGTCCTTTATGGTTTCTCTAATATAAACTTGCTCTTTCATTTTTGCAGCCTCTTGGGAACCTGACATAACAATTTCTCTGTCATTTATTGGAAATATTATTTGCTCAGCAAGCCGATTTTTGTGTACTGGACCTTTCCAGAGATTAAGCTGTCGTTTAACGCCTCTGAAAGCTATTCTTCTGGCTTGTCTAGCATCCTGAATTTCGTCAGCTTTATCCAACACTTCATTTTTTCTGTGGAACTCATTTAGAATCTTCCTTTGCGCTTTTTTATTCCCCTTCTTCAAACTTATGAGACCCCATACATTAGCATCTTCAACTCCCGGTGCTGCACACTAAGGATTTCAAAGTTTAATCTCAAACACAACTAACCTCCAGCATCACTAGTCAGGGAGTAAAACTAAATTATTACTTTGTCTGGTCAAATACAAAGATATCGCGTCAATTAACAGCAGGATGCCTAAAGGTCTGAAATGAAATAACGGTATAATCGATATGCATATTACACATTTAAATCATGAATCAGTCATTGTTAGACCACTATTAGAAACCTGGAAGCATTTGACGGCCTTTTTGTCCTGGTGTGGGATTCATCAACGGTGCGCATTCACGACTCTTGCACCTCGCACGATTCGAACCCAGTACCTTCGGTCTTGTGCGTGAACGCCTAGTTTCTGGACCACTAGGCCGGCATATGAATGTTGACAGAAACTTTATTTCAAACGATAGTATATGGACTTTAATCGGATAGAGGGAGAAAGAGAACAAGGGCCAAAAAACAGCCCCTTAGGAGTTTAGTTAAATTCAACAGTTTGTTTTGATAGTTTCGTTGTTTGAGACTTAACGGTTCATTGTCAGTCTTTCATTGACTTTCTGAGCAACAGCACCATCTGAATCGTTTCATAACTATATTAAAGAAAACGGAGTAGTGTCTACTAACGTTTAAGGACTATAATTAGCTGATTGAAACACCAAATTTACCAAAAACAAAATTATCGTGACAGATTTGGACTAAAAATGCACTGGCAGCCGATAAGCATGACTTTAAGATAATATGATAAAGTCCTTTTACTCTTAGTGGAATCAAATAATATGACATGATAATATCTACTAAATTGTAAAATAATGTCCGATTGTAGATTCATTTACTCGGTTTTCAGGCAGAAGTATTGTAACACGGTTTTTGACATCATTCAGCTTGCTAGATAAACGTGCAGCAGGTTTTGGATCAAAGACTCGGCAGCTGCAGATCAGTTGCTCTAACCGTTAGGACAGCATAGATACTAGGTCCACTGACGTCTGTTAGCTACGTGGGCTAGATATCTAGTTCTATCAAATCTACAGTCATTTGCGGAAGTGGTTCTAAATCTTGGTGACAAACACGTAATGACATACACATTTTTAACTCGTGCTGGAACCAGTTGTGCCTGATACAGGCCTTGACACTTGCTTATTTTTATTATTATCACTATAGTCTTATTTAACACTAAATATAAGCTCAGCTTCGACTCTCACTTTTATTCCTCGGTTTTCTTTTATCATCTGGAATATCATTTATTTAACTTAAATTTTTAGGTTAGTAAATGAAACACTAGTCTTTGCATTAGAATTGGAATACTCGCCTTAGTATTCTCCACGTAGCAAACAACTGATCCTTAGTCTGACAACGTGAGAACTGCTGATATCCAGATAGCTTGCTGGCCTGAGATAAATGCATAGCTCATACTAAAGAAACACAAGTTCAC